AACCATTGAAACTGGGTTATGATGCTCTTTGTGATTCTGATTTACATTGATCTTCCTGATGATGAGTGAAAATGAACATTTGTCCATATAGTTACACCATTTGTATCTTCTTTGAGCACTGTCTGCAAAGTATGTCTGCTCTTATGTCTCTGTGTGTGTGTGTGTGTGTGTGTGTGTGTGTGTGTGCATTCGTGTATAGGTGTAAACATGTGCATGTAGGTGCTGGGACTGTTAGCATAAACATGTATGTGTGAACATGCATGCTGGGCATGTGTGTAGGTGTGAGCATGCATGTGTAGGTGTGTGAGGGAGTGTGAGCATGTGTGTGTAGGTGTAAGCATGTGTGTGTGCAGGCACAGCTGCCCATGGGTATGCACACGAGTGGAGGCCTGAGGTTGAGGCCAGGTGTCATTCTTTAAATGCTCCCTGCCCTTAGTTTTTATTTCATTTTATTTTATTTTATGTTTCACACAGGGTCTCATTTAGCTCTGGCTAGCTTGCAACTCTCTATGTAACCCAGGCTGGCCTTCAACTCACAGAGACATGCTGCCTGCATGTGCCACCATGACCGACTCCCACCTTTATTCTCTGAGACAGGGTTTCTCACTGAAACTGAATCAGGGTTGGATGGCCAAGGAGTGTCTAGAATCACCTGTCTTTACTGTTGACCTCTGGTGCTGGGCTACAGGGACACACCATCACTACATGGCTGCTGGGCATACAAATTCAGGTTCTTTGTTCTACTTACACTGCAGATATTTTGCTGGCTAAGCCAAATCTCTACGGCCCCTTATTTGTTCATTTGTAATTGGATTCTGATCTCTGTTTGTTTCCTTGAGCTGAATTCTTGCTCATGTATTCTGGAAACTAGGTTCCTGTAGGATCCATAGTCGGAATAGAATTTCTCCTACGCTGAAGGCTGTCTCTCCATGCTGTTGGTTGACACCTTTTAGTTTAAAATAATCACATTCAGCAATTTTTGTTTTCTTACCTGTGGCATTAGACATACTTAGTTGTTGAAGCCAATTCCCTGAAGCACTTCCTTAGCAGTTTTTCTTAAAGATTTATTTATTTATATGTTTTATCTACATGAGTCCTCTATCTTTGTTAAGAGGAGGAGAGGGCATCTGATCCCACTACAAATGGTTGTGAGCCACCATGTGGTTGCTGGGAATTGAACTCTGGACCTCTGGAGGAGCAGTCAGTACTCTTAACCACTGAGACATCTCTCCAGACCCTCCTTTACATAAAGCTGGTATTTGATAGTTGTTTGATTTGGTATTTGATGCTTGTGCATGCTGTGTAAGCACCTCACCAATGGTGCTGCATCCTCAGTCCTGACCAGGAGCTCTGGGACTCAGATTACAAGGATCTGAAGGACAGCACAGGGTCGGTGTGCTGTGGACTCTGCACCACACGGAAATCAGATTGGTTGGTGTCATTTTAGTCAACCTCCAAGGCATCCATTTCAGAGACTGCTGAACTACCACAAGTGGAATCTGTATGACCATGGGATGTGGATTCTTCAAATGAGCCTCCTGAGGGTCATGGGTATGGAAATGAAAATAGAATCATGTCCAACGGACATGGTGTTCTGTCACTTCCTCCATTTCAGCCATGATTGGTCAATGTTACCACTTTATTTTCTGAGAACTGTAACTGGTATCTTCAGCAATTTTTTCTTTTTTCTTTTCTTTTCTTTCTTTCTTTCTTTCTTTCTTTCTTTCTCTCTTTCTTTCTTTCTTGTTTTTTTTTTCTTTTGAGGCTTCAACCAATAGGATAAGGATGCAGATCTCTCTTGGGGAAAGGAAGCCCTTCACTGGTTGTTATTCAGTTCATGAACTCTGTCCTTGGAGCAGGAGATCAGTGGTCCATGGGCTTGTGTTTTCCAGGCTGCTGCACTGCTCAGGGTCCAGTCACAGGTCCAGAGGAGGTGAGCGGTTATGAGCAGGGCTTCTTGACAGTGCAGTGCCGATATAACTCAGGATGGAATAATTACAAGAAGTACTGGTGCCGAGGAGCTTACTGGAAATCATGTAAGATTCTCGTTGAAACTGATGCATCAGAGCAGTTGGAGAAGAAGAACCATGTGTCCATCAAGGATGACCAGACACACCGCATCTTTACAGTGACCATGGAGGATCTGAGGATGAGCGATGCTGGCATTTACTGGTGTGGAATTACGAAATCTGGAACGGATCCCATGTTTAAAGTTAGTGTGAACATTGACCCAGGTAAGAAAAAATTCCAGAAAATTCAGGTTGGGTTGTGGTGGGATCAGCGACCCTTGTAAAAGTCTTACGAGAAAAGATAAACAGAGTCTACTCTATTTGGATCTATTTTCTCCTGAGATAGAGGGTGAGACAGGGAAGCCTCATCTCCTGGCCCCCATTTTGTGTCTTAGATATCCTCAGTTCTACAGATCTGAGAATTGAATGTAAAATCTCATGTGTGCTAGCCAATCACTATCACTGAGTTAAACTCCCCAAAATAAAGGAAGCCATGGACTATGTATTTCTGGGCATGATAGAGTAATAAGGATCAAGTTTACCTCTCGCTTCAAAGAACTACAACAACAAAAAAATAGGCAACAGAAGCTAGAGACATGGCTCAGTGATTCAGAGCACTGGCTGTTCTTCCAGAGGACGAGACTTCGATCCCAGCATCTACATGGTAGCTTGCAACCATCTGTCATTCAATTTCAGGGGTTCTGACACCCTCTTCAGGCCTCCATGGGGACTGCAAGCAGATGCTGCATTTGGAAGATGGCAAGGGACACACAGACACACATACATGAATTTTTTTAAAAAAATAAAAGAGATAAAACATGCAACACCAAGTGTTTCTGCATATTGCACACAAGACAATAATGAATACACTCAGAAGGAAGCGAGTTTTAAAGGGAGCTGTTTCTCTTCTCTGCACATCGTCCTTCTTTAGAAAAGAATTAAAGTGTTAGACACAGTGGTACACACCTTTAATCCACCACTGGGGAGGCAAAGATAGGCAGATCTCTGAGCTTGAGGTTAGCCTGTTCCATAGAGTGAGTCCCAAATGATCAGGGGCTACACAGAGAAACCCTGTCTCAAAAATAAATAAATAAGTAAATAAATAACTAAAATAAAGTAAGTAAGTAAGTTTTGGATGGTGACTGGGAATTGAGCTCCTTAATTCCTAGTGGAAAGAACTTAAGGCCATAAACCAGAGCTAGACTATCCACAGAAGGACTGAATCATTTTCTCTTTGTATCTGCAACCCCAAAAATTTTGACTACAGAACTGACAACCATACCCGCAATTCTGACGTCCACACCAACCATGGAGGACATTGGCATGGAGAACATTATCAAGGAACAAGAGATTCAGAGCAGCCTCTTCATCTGGTAAGCAGAGCTGTACCCTGGCAGCTGCTTCTCACTGGGCTGACCCTGTGGGCTCTCCCCTGGGAAGGCCTTGAGATAAAACACAAAATGCCCAGGAATCCTGGGATTCAGGAAAATCAATCATTTCTCGCCTAAATATATCCCAAGTATTTCTTAACATGGCTATATCTATGCTTTTCAAAAAAGTCATTTATCTGAATACCAAATTGGCCTGTCCATCTTGTAATTTTACTTGCTAATCTCAGTAACTATCGTGTAGAACCACTTGGGCTGGTGTATTCTCATGTCAAAGCCTGAGGTGGGATTCCCCAGTTCTTCTACCTTTTAGTATAACAAGACTTCCCTTCTAAGCCTCAGGTACAGGAAGGTAACATCTTCACCTGAGTGACAGGAGAAACTGAGCACAGCTTTTGTGTCTCCTCTGTGTGTCCCCCAGAGGGCAGGACAGAGGGCCATGGTTGGGTCTCCACGGAGTTAGAAGAGATCCCTCTCCCATCAGCTACTCTTTCCAGCCTATAAATAAATCTCCAGGTTCCTGTCCAACACTGCCAAGAGCCAGTGTGGGAAATTGTCTTAGTTAGGGTTTTACTGCTGTGAACAGACACCATGACCAAGACAACTCTTATAAGGATAGCGTTTAATTGGGGCTGGTTTGCAGGTTCAGAGGCTCAGTCCATTATCATCAAGGCAGGAACATGGCAGCATCCAGGCATGCATGGTACAGGAGATGATGGGAGTTATACATCTTCATCTGAAGGCTGCTAGCAGAATACTGACTTCCAGGCAGCTAGGATGAGGATCTTAAAGCCCACGCCCACAGTGACACACCCATTCCAACAAGGCCACACCCACTCCAACAGGGTACACTTAATAATAGTGCAGCTCCCTGGGTAGAACATAAATAAACCATCACAAGAGTCTGCACAGTGCAGAGGAGGATTGGGAAACTGGGGACTGTATTTTGCCCCTAGGATGCTTGTCATTCTTGAAGATGTCCAGAGGAATTCCCAGCATTATACAGCTACCTTGGCCTAATTTAATCACAGCCTGTTGGGGTCAATTCTCCAGGTCAAGGACACAGATAAAACACAAGCTAAGCTAAGTCACAGGGTACCTCATTAGTTCTCCTTGTGAGTTGTCCCTCAGGTGTTATCTAGTCCCCTGTTCTTTCTACTGTGTCCTTTCTGCTCCATAAATCTTAAGTTAGACAAAAATGTCTCAAAGCATCTTACTTCATAGGCTCTCTCAGGGATTCTTTTTAAGAATTTCTTTCTCTTCTAATGCTTTGGACGTGTTATTACTTGTTTTGCAAGTGAATAGAATGTTAGTTGTCAAGTGACAGAGGGTATGAAGTTCCAAAAATGTAGAGAATCGAAGAGAGTGTAAAACACAGAGAGAGCTCAGTCCTTGGAAACATTTCAGGACATTGGATGGCATGGTCTGTGAAGCGGAAGCTCTTTTATGTTCCAGGAATGTGTTTGGGCTAACCTGTGACTCACAGAGTATCTGAAGTTGTAGACGCTCTTCAGGAGCTGAGGATAGCCTCCTGTTGGGCAAAGAGAATCCAAGGATGGTCCAAGGAGGGAGATAGAGACCTGGGCAGTGAATAGAGGATGGCAGGAGTTGGGGAATGGGGCTTAATACTCTCAGGGCCTCATGTCCCACAGGGTGTAATAAAGGGACACAAAGAACTGCAACAGCAGTGTCAGTCCACTGACAGTGGAAGCAGCCATCAACCATTTCTAGATGTAGTGTTCCCCAAGCCCCCTAACACACCGGTGCTGATGAGGTCGGGCAGGAGCATCCTGGTGAGGAATGCAGCAGAAGCCAAGGTCAAAGATCAGGGAGCAGTGAAGTCTTCAGCCTGGCAGGAACGAAGACTAGATGAGGAGGATTTAAGGAAGACCAGAAGAACAGAGAGGATGGTGGTCAAAGGGGAAAGGAGAGACATGGGCAACGCTTTCCTGGGTGAGAGCTTATCCTTCAGGCAGCATGACCAGCCATGCACTTGCAGGGAGGCAGACCTGTACCATCTCAGGCTTGCCCTTATCTGGCCCTTGAAGGCTAGGATGCAGACACCAGGAAGGCCGAGCCCTCTATGCCAGGTGACTGCTCACTTCCTGTCTCCTTTGTTTCCTGCAGGTCCCTGCTGAGCAGCCTCTCCTTCCAGCTGTTGGTCTTTGTGGTGTTTCCCCTGTTCCTGAGCATGCTCAGTGCTGTCCTCTGGGTGAACAGGCCTCAGAGATCCTCTGAGGGAGGTGAAGTTGGCCTGGTGAAGACCCATAGTTCTGTTGCCTAGAACAGAGAGGAACACTTCCCAGGAGAGGGAAAATGAGCTTAACCTCTCTGTCTCTCTGTGTCTATCTCTCTCTCTGTCTCTCTCTCTCTGTCTCTCTCTCTCTTCCTCTCTCTCTCTCTCTTCCTCTCTCTCTCTCTCTCTCTCTCTCTCTCTCTCTCTCTCTCTCTCTCTCTCTCTCTCATGTGTGTGTGTATGTGTGTGTGTACACATTGTAGCAGCAGATGTGTACATGGAGGACATCTTCAGGTATCCTTCCAGTATTGTTTGAGACAGGATTTCTCACTGACCTGGACCTTTCCCAAGTAAGCCAGATAGCTGGCCAGGAACTCCAGGGATCCACCTGCCTCCACCCCCTATTCTGCCATTACAAGGACATGCAATTGCCCTCACTTAAAAACAAACAATCCAACAAACACTGAAGGTTTTAGGGATTGAATTCATGTCCTTGTACTTACAAGGAAGGCAAGTGCTTTACCAACCGATCCATCTCTCCAGTCTGGAAAAGACTCGTTCTATTAAGGAACAACTGATCAGCAGAACAATGGCTATGAGGTGCCTGTGGGCCCAGACTCAGACTAAGTCCAGTCCTACAGCAGGGACAGCTGAGTTCTGGAATTTATTCATATCTTCCATCTCTCAGAACATCCCACAATGCCTACTTAAGTCTCTCTTCCACTGGCAGCTTCAAGGGAAGTAGAAAATACAAGAAAAGTTCATGTTTCTTCCTAGGGCTTCAGATCCTTAGAGAACACATGCCAATACAAGTGTGTAGGCCACCAGTCAGGTGACTGAACAAATACCTGGAATTGTGGCCTCTCCAAGTGGCATAAAAATTTGCCATTGTCACAGTGAATATCTATCCCTTATGGACTGGACACACCCTGCTTCCTTTTTTGTCAATGCAACCCAGTGACTAAGCCCATTGCAAACATGGATGGAATAGTGACCGAGGCTCTTTGCCACCTGAACAGGTCCCCAAGTAGTAACTTAGTCTTGGTCTCTGAAGTTTAGATTCTGTGACCAGTGAGACCAAATGGGGAGCTAAGCTGAAGGAAGGCAGCTGGCCTCTCAAGAGTCACAAACCCACATCACTCCATGACCCCTTCAGGGATTCTCACTGCACCAGGCCTTACAACTGTTTCTCCCTTAGTTCAGAAGCATCTATTGAATGTCTAAATGTTAGACACTCTCCACATATAAGCTCTAAAATAAGAAACACCCAGTAAAGTCCACAATGGAAGCCGAGGGGCTCAAACAGAAATGTTCTGCAGGAAAATAGTTGTTTTCAGCCCTCCAGCCTCAGCCCTGCTGTGTTCTCCACCATGACACAGTCTTCTCCCCCCGCACCCCAGTGAGGCTCTGACAACCGCAGCCAAACTCACACTTCACAAGGGTGAACCCCTACTTTGAATGAGAAGAGTCGCCAGGTTAACATCGTCTCCTTGGTGACATGTGCTGGGCTCTAGTGAGCCTGGCTGTCTTGAAAGGACAGATTTCATTTGCTTCCAGGGTATAGCTGCTGCTCAGACAAAGAATCCCAGTTAAATGCAGTGGGACACACCATAACACACACACACGCACACGCACATGCACACGCACACACACGACATGTAATCTGGAAAGGAGCTCATTAGAGCCTGTAGGCCAGGCAGTGATGGAGCACATCTTTTATTCCAACACTCAGGAGGCAGAGGCAGGTGGATTTCTGAGTTCAAGCATCAGCTTGGGTTACAGAGTGAGATCCAGGACTACACAGTGAAACCCAGCAAGTTCCAGAACAACCAGGGCTACATGGAGAAACCCTGTCTTGGAGGGAAAAAAGAAAAAGAAAGGAAGGAAATAAAAAGCAAGAAGGAAGGAAGGGAGGGAGGGAGGAAGGAAGAAGGAATAGGAAGGGAGACAATGGAGGTAATAGCAGTGAAGATGACTAAAATTCATTGTGTATTCCTGTGATGCTCTGTAAGACTTTTTTAAATAATAAAATAAAAATTTAAAGAAGGAAGGGTTTTCTCTTTCCGTGTCCCCATCTTCTTCTTTCCAGTGTGGGTTCTGTCAACACACACACACACACACACACACACACACGCGTGTGGTATTTACTCTCCCTTCTGTGAGCAGCCCTGGGGTTAGCCCCACCCTTTCTGCTTTAAGAAGATTCCTTGCCTGCACAGATTCTCTTTCTCTTATTACTCAACTGCCTTGTTGGCAGTTTTCATCATCACGTGGCTTTGCTATTCTTAGCCGGCCATGGGCACTGCTTTCTTCCTCCTCTCATGCTGTGACTGTCCCTGGCTGGAGCCCTTGGAAATCTGCATTAGCAGTGGAGATTCCCAGAACCTTCTGTCATTTGCTTGTTCTATTGCTTATGTATGAACACAGACCTTTTTCCACGTCTTCTGGGATGAAGGTCCCTGAACTAAAATGTGAGGGGGACACACTCTAATCTCTGTCAGACACCCCTGCTCTCACACCAAACAATGGTGAAGAAAAGAACACAGTTCATGAATCTCCTTTGCCTCCAACATCAGGGGCAACTAGAAGCAAGTCACCCCATTTTTCCCGCATGGCTCCTCTGTCCCACAGCTGTACAAGCTTGGTTCTGTCCTCTACACAGCTGTTTGATGGGTCTGCTCTGTCATCCAACGCTCCAATGCAACAATATAGCACAGAGACCATAATATGCTCAAATTCCCTTATTGTAGTCTGCACTCAAAACATCTTGGGAAGGATCCCCTAAAAGTCAACTCCACCATCATTCTGGACATTGAGGAGGTTTCCTGAGAGACAAGTCCCGGTCATCACCCCTGCCCCCACCCTGGACATGTTTCTTCTCATTGCAATCTAGAATAGACTTTTTCTGACCCCCAGCTAAGCCTTATGCTCTCATATCTCCAGGGCCACAGTCCCATTGATCTGGAGACAAGAGAGGAGAAGAACTGGTGGCAATCACCGGATTCAATCTCATGGGCTCCTCCATCTACAAAGGGCACTGTCCCTAGACACAGAAAAGAGAGTCCACATCCTACCTGACTCTCCTCAGAATCTTGTCCTTAAAAAAGTTGTGTGTGTGTGTGTGTGTGTGTGTGTGTGTGTGTGTGTGTATGCTTTGCCTGCCTGTGAGTCTGGTGCTCTGAGAGGCCAGAAGAAGCCATGGAAATGGAGTTACAGATCTACTTTATAAATGTTGGGAATCAAACCTGGTCCTATGGAAGAGCATCAGGGTCCTTAACTGCTGCATCATCTCTCCAGTTCCTGACTTGTTTTTCCAGAAAGATCTATCATCAACATAATCATCATCATCATCTTCATCATCATAATTTTTAAGTTATATGCATCTGTATGTGGGTTTGTTCATGAGAGTTCAGGTGTCCATGGTATCCAACAAAGGGTGAAAATTCCAGGGTGTGAGCCACCTGGGGTGGATGCTAAGATCTGAACTCAGGTCCTCTGCAAGAACAGATCCCATTCTCTTTTTTTCTTAAATAAAAATAATTTTTCTTTACTTATTTCATGTGTATGGGTGTGTTGCCTGCATGCATGTCTGTGTAGCATGTACATGACTAGTGCCCCACAAAGGCAAGAGAAAGGCATCTGCTTCCCTGGCACTGGAGCTAAGACAGCTCTGAGACCCTATGTGGGTGCAGGGAACTGAACCCAGGTCCTCTGGAAGAACAATCACTTAACAACAGAGACAGCTCTCCAGCCCCTGGAGTGTTTTCCGATGGAGCAGATACTCTCCATAATATATTTAAATTGGCCACACGATTTGAGAATGAAAGAGGCATGATGGACATATTAACCATTCTCTCCAAGGCCCTCTCTGAATTATGTGAAGCCTCTAAACTTCCAGCCTCACCACTAGGGGGTCAGAATGTCACTGACATGCTGCTCAGGGGAGGTGAAATGTAGGGGTGTTAGGCTGAGTTTCTTCCTCACCTTTGGAGTGCCGGCTACCAAAACACTGCTCAGAGAAGGCCAAATGCGGTCTAGGGGACACAGCCCGTGTTTCTTTCTCCAGGTGAGAAATAGCAGGTGCTGGGACAGATGCTGTGGTTCTCAAATTCCTGTGCACCCAGATACCAGTGGAAATCACGAAGAGTAGTAAACTGGGGCTCCCATCTTCCTGTGTACCCAGATGCTTCTGGGGACCGAAAAGAGTTGGGAATGGGAGTCTGTGGAGCCCGTGCTGAGCCTGGGATGGGGAGGGGGCAGTAAGTGAGGGGGGTTGATCCTGCTTAGCTCTGAGTGAGTCCCAGCAGTAGGGAGGGGCTTCTCCAAGGAGACTTTGGCTTGGCTCTGTATGATGAAGGCCTCCACCCTCAGGAGTCTTTGATGAAGGAGATTGTCTTTGCTTATCCAAACTGTTTTACTCATGGCAGATGTGAATGGATATGTCTTACTGATGGTGAACCAGAGATTAAATACCTTTTGTAGGAAGAGGTGCCCAGGAAGGGAAACTCATTGGCTAAACACTCTGGGCCTATCTAGATATCTCATTAGCATGAAGAATTCTGGGTTTTTATGCTAATTGAGTGGTTCTTATGGTCCTCTTAGTGGGGTGTCATGTGCTCCAGGAGAGGAAACTGGTCCTAAGCTATTTCGAACTCCTGCCATTCTCAATTATGATTTATCTGGGTTCCAAACTTGCTACAACTGTCAGGAGCCATAAAGGGATAAGCTAATAATTAGCAGGTGATCATCCTGAAATGCTTGCCTTGGATTATTATATAACCTCCGACAAGTACGTCCTCATCTAGCAAGGCTGTGGGGAACTTATTTTAGGAAAGATTCCTGCTATTAATATACTTTTCCTGTTATTATTGTTATTATTAAATGTATGTAACAATCACTAAGCAATAGCACACCCCTGCAGGCCCACGAAGATGTTCTGTCTTGTAGTGATGGTATATAGACAAATAGATGACTTCTTAAGTCTTAATGATGATCCTATAAGAATTCCTAAAATTCTATCAATGATTACTATGCTCTTTTATGGTGGGATGCTATTAGGTCCCTTTCTGATAGTCAAAACCGCAATGAGAACTCTGACAGTCTCCCAAGTGTCATCAGTTAATTGCCCTTAGATAGTAACCAGCCTTTCTCCTGCTCAGAGCACATTCCAAGAAGTCATAAAACAATTAACCAAAGGTCACTAAAAGGCAGCTAACAATTTATTATAGGTTAGATACTAGGACAGAACAGAAAATATTGCCTGGGTTTATCTATTCAGAACTTCACTAATTGCTTAGTTATAGTTTTAAACCTTCGGTGAACCTGTGGAGCTAGACAGGTGATGGATGTTTAGTCAGATAATTACTCCTAATGGATATGCATGTAAACATTCTGTGTTGTAAACTTCTATTTCAATTTATGATTTGAATATTGGTGTGAACGTGTGATGAACCTTGTAACACGTGACCATGTACTCTGTAAGATGCGTAAGTACTGAAGACAAAGACAAAGAGAGTAGGAGTCGTGGTAGTCATCACGGTAGTGGTAGGATAGAGTAGTTGTAGGTGTAGACATTCTTTAGGAGCCGTTCGTCCTTTCCTTTCCTTTTCCCTTGCTTAGAATTTTTTCACTTAGAATTTTTCCTTTGTTAGAATTTTTTCCTCTTCCCCACTTAGGGCCTTACCACTTTTCCTCTTAGATAGCCTTCACAGGAAACTTTTTACACTTAGCAATAAACTCTATGATAACTTCTCTAAGTGTCTTTTTCTTCCTGTGACTTCAGACTAGCAGGCATAAGTCAGGGCCCGGCAGGTCCTGCAGAGAGAGTACAAAGGCTATAGAGGCTATTTGCTTAATCCTCTGCTGTTTGGGGGCTGAGGTGAAAGTGCCAGGAATGACGGTTTCTGGCCAGAGGATTCCAGAGGGCAGGCCAGCTACAGTAGAATAGCAAGTGAACTTTTCTAGCATACATAAATAATCTCTTGTTATGCAGCAACCCTAAATATCTGGTAAGACCAAGTCTTACCCCCCCTCCTACCGACACTCTTCCCATCCCCCTCAGCTGCCTCAAGAAGAACTGACGAGGAGAAAAAGAGACCCCCTCCTTCTCCTCCCACCAAGCTGGGGCTGGATCCTGGCGTACAGCCTTATCAGTCCTTCTGTCTGGTGACATCATCCACTGCCCTATACTCTTTCTTGAAAGACTGAAACCACAATTAAATTTTAAAAAGATTATATAATGAGAAGTTGGTGCTTATATATTTGAAGCTAAACACGGTGAACAGTAAAGAGGATGATGGGGGAGGGGACAAGATACAGGCTGAAGCTGGATCATGAGGTGAAGAGTCTGGGTCATTCACGAATAGGGAAAAGCCAACCCATGTTTCAGTCAAGGATTGAGATAAGCTGGTCTGTCTGTCTGTCTGTCTGTCTGGTTCATCCTCCTGTCTGTCTATCTGTCCTAGTCTCTTCTTTGTTGCTGTGACAAAACACTGACCAAAACCAACCCAATGGGAAGAGCAGTGTTATATGGCTGACACTTCCATGGAACGGTCCATCTTGAAGGCAGTGTGCAGGGGCTCAGCAGGAACCTGGAGGCAGGAACTGAAGCAGAGGCCATGGAGGGCACTGCTCACTGGCTTGCCCAGCCTACCTTCTTAGACAACCCAGGACCACAAGCTCAGGAATGGTATCACATCCATTAACCATCCAGAGAATATCCTCACAAACTTGCCTACCGTGTCCATCTGATGGAAGAAAATGCTCAGTAAAGGTTCTTTCTCCCAGGGTTCCCTAGTTTGCATTAAGTTGACAAAACTTATCAGTACGTTATAACCTGTCTGTGAACCTATCAGTACACTGATAACCTGAATGTTTATTATTTTTCTTTTTCTCTCTTTTTTTTGTGGGGTATTGTTGTTGTTGTTTCTTTTTATTTTTTTCAAGACACAGTTTCTTTGTGTATACTTGGCCATCTTGGAACTTGCTCTGTAGACCAGGTTGGCCTGAAACTCACAGAGATCCAGCCTCCCCAGTACTGGGATTAAAAGCATGCACCGGCACCACCAGCTTTCCTTCCTTTTTCCAGAGACAGAATGTCAACTGAGCATTCTCATTGCTGTGATAAATAATGAGACAAAGGCAGCTTAAGGAGGGAAAGATTTATTCTGGCTCATGGTTTGAAGGAATTTAGCAAACCATGGTGGAAAGGCTGGGTGGTGGGGTGTGAGGTGGCTGCTGACATTGCATCCATAAGTAGAAAGCAGAAAGGGATGAATACTGGTGTTCCCGTCCTTCATCCCTTTCCTCTGTTTATCCAGTCTGCCATCCAGCCCAGAGAAGGCATCTGCTCCCAGCTCTGCCTCTTCTCTTTAAGAGAAACCTACCTCTATCCTACTCCTTGGAGAGGCCCTGTTCACAACAGAAAACCCTGAGGAGACACAAGGTGGTGCCACAGGTCTGGAGAAGTCCTACTAGGCACCTCCCAGATGAGTCTATAACCATGGAGTTGCAGTGATCAGCACTTGATGTGTCTACAAACTTCCTCTTCTGGTACATGAAGGTTGTTCCTCTTCAGACTTCTTGCTCTCACTGCAGGATAGAGCTTGGCAGGAGACATGAGCAGACCATCGTATTCTCAGCTTCCTCTTTCCCCAGAGGAACTGCATGTGTTTCTGTGGCTCTCTTGGCTTCTAGGGCCTGACATGTGTGAGTGAGTGTGAATAGGTACCATGCCTGGGGAAAGCTCTTGCCCTCAGCTTTCTGCCTCTCCCTGATTCTTAAGATGGTAATGACCACCTTAGATGTGTAGGCAAAGTCAGCTATTGCAAGTTCACAAAACAGGAAAGCAGCAGCAGCCTCGAACCCTGGTTTTGTGGAGTAAAGACCTCACCAGACTTTTGCTGGACAACAAAATAAGTTGCTAATTTTTCCAGTAGGAGGCGGGAAACCACATGTTGGCTCTTACAGCCTCAGCGGGAGGGGCAGCGGGGGACATGTGTCACATAAACTCACATCATTATGGGTGTGGGGAGTGTGTGTGTGGAAATCACATCGTTTTCTGCAGTAAACCACAGCTCTGGTGATTCAGTGAACTGAGGGTGACCTTGGGGACTCTGGTCACAGCAGGAAGGTTAGACTGAACTCAGGGGTATTTATGGAAAAGTGCTGGGGCCCTTTGCTTTCGGTGGCAAGCATCAGGATCACAAACTGTCTCCTGGAGAAGCATGTCTATCAGACAGACCCTGGAGCTTTGGCCCACAGGAGTAAGAGGACAGTGGTGAGGGGGTGACAGATTCTGTGTGTGGTGGATGGGACACTGTCCGAGTTAATTCAGTCACAGTCCCCAACATCATAGATATTTCTCTTATTCTGTTACAATGCCTGACATTTTTTCCAAAGACCTAACTTGGATTTTTGTTTGCATAGGTACTTGATTTTTGTTTATAATTAAATCAATTACAAATTTGATATGATCCCTGTCTCCCAGGCTGGTTTCCTCCCTTGATCCTCCTATCCCAGCCTCCTAAGTGCTAGGGTGCATATAACTTAGAAATTATGATGATGATGATGAAAATGATGATGATGATGACTATGCTGATGATATGCTGATGGTAGATCTTTCTGGAAAAACAAGTCAGGAACTGGAGATATGGTGCAGCAGTTAAGGACCCTGATGCTTTTCCATAGGACCCGGTTTGATTCCCAACATTTATAAATAGCTCATAAGTACCTGTAACTCCATTTCTATGGCTTCTTCTGGCCTCTTGTACATCTGTGGGACAGAGGAGCCATGCTGGCCTTGGGCTCACAGACTTCAGCTCCCTGTCTCTCTGTAGCATGGGGTGACTTGCTTCTAGTTGCCCCTGATGTTGGAGGCAAAGGAGATTCATGAACTGTGTTCTTTTCTTCATGATCTATGTAGTGTGAGAGCAGGGGCGTCTTAGGGAAATAGGAGTGTGTCCCCCTCACATTTTAGTTCAGGGACCTTCATCCCAGAAGACGTGGAAAAAGGTCTGTGTTCATACATAAGCAATAGCACAAGCAAATGACAGAAGGTTCTGGGAATCTCCACTGCTAATGCAGATTTCCAAGGGCTCCAGCCAGGGACAGTCACAGCATGAGAGGAGGAAGAACACAGTGCCCATGGCCGGCTAAGAATAGCAAAGCCACGTGATGATGAAAACTGTTAACAAGGCAGTTGAGTAATAAGAGAATCTGTGCAGACAAGGAATCCTCTCAAAGCAGAAAGGATGGGGCTAACCCCAGGGCTGCTGGCAGAAGGGAGAGTAAATACCACGTGTGTGTGTGTGTGTGTGTGTGTGTGTGTGTGTGTGTGTGTGTGTGTGTTTGTGTGTGTGTGTGTGTGTGTGCTGACAGAACCAACTTAGGAAGAAGATGAGGAAACATAGAAAGAAAATGGTCCCCCTCTTTAAATTTTTATTTTATTATTTTAAAAATTTTTATACATCTTCTTTGAAATATATAAGGACTTTTAGTCATTTTCACTGCTATTACCCTCCATTGTCTCCCTTCATGTCCCCACTTCCTTCTTTCCTTCCTTCCTTCCCTCCTTCCTTCCTTCCTTCTTTTTATTTCCTTCCTTTCTTTTGCTTCTTTCCCTCCAAGACAGGGTTTTTCCATGTAGCCCTGGTTGTTCTGAAACTTGCTGGGTTTTTCTGTGTAGTCCTGGAACTCTCTCAGTAGTCCAAGCTAGTCTTGAACTCAGAAATCCACCTGCCTCTGCCTCCTGATTGATGAGATTAAAGGTGTGCTCCATCACTGCCCGTCCTACAGAATCTAATGAGCCCCCCTTCAGATTATACATCGTGTGTGTGTGTGTGTGTGTGTGTGTGTGTGTGTGTGTGTGGTATGTGGCGTGTGTGTGTCCCACTGAGTTTAACTGGGATTGCTCCTCTGAGCGTGGGTGGGAACATGGACAACTGACTGGCAGCTGTACCCTGGAAGAAAATGAAATCTGTCCTCTAAACAGAGCCAGGCTCACTAGAGCCCAGCACATGTCACCAAGGAGAAGATGCTAACTTGGGGACTCTTCTCACACAAAGTGGGAGTTCACCCGTGTTAGGTGTGAGTTTGGATGTGGGTATCACAGCCCCACTGGAGGAGGAGAAGACTGTGTCATGGTGGAGAACACAGCATGGCTGAGGCTGATGGGCTGAGAACAACTGTTTCCCACTTAACGTTAAACTTGAGCCCCTGGGCTTCCTCTGTGGACTTTAGCCAGGTCTTTCTTATTTTGGAGCTTATATGTGGAGGGTGTCTAATACTTAGACATTCAACAGATGCTTCTGAACAAAGGGAGACAATTGAACGGCCTGGTGCAGCAACTGTCCTCAAGGGGTCAAGGGGTGATGTGGGTTTGTGACTCCTGAGAGGCCAGCTGCCTTCGTGCAGCTTAGCTCCACATTTGGTCTCACTGGGCAGAGAATCTAGACACCAGGACCAAGACTAAGCTACTACTGGGGACCTGTGCAGGTGGCACAGAGCCTAGGACAACTGCTCCATTCATGTTTGCAAAGTGCTTAGTCTCTGGGTTGTGTTGACAAAAAGAAATCAGGGTGTATCCTATAAGTAAGGGACAGATACCCAGCGTGGACAGATATCCAGTGTGACACTGATAAAGTTTTATGCCACTTGGTGTAGTCACAATTCCCAGATATTTGGTTAACCACCTGTCTAGTGACCCACAGACTTGCATTGGCATGTGTCCTCAAAGGAACTGGGGCCCTAGGAAGAAACATGACTTTTTTTTTTATTATTATTTTCTACTTCCCTGGAAGCTGTCAGTGGAAGAGAGGCCCAGGTAGGCACTATGGGATGTTCTGAGAGAGGGGGACATGAATGGATTCCAGAAGTCAGCTGGCCATGCTATAGGATTTTGATTAGTCTGAATCTGGGCCTACAGCACCTCAGAGCCGTGTTACTGCTGACCAGTTGTTCCTTAATAGAACGAGTCTTTTCCAAACTAGAAAGATGGATCAGTTGGTAAAGTGCTTGCCTTCCTTACAAATACAAGTACATGAGTTCAATCCCTACCATCTGCAGTGTTTCTTTTACTGTTTGTTTTAAAGTGAGGGAAGTTGTGTGTGCTTGTATTGGCAGAAGGGGGGTCGAGGCAGGTGGATCCTGGAGTTCCTGGCCAGCTATCTGGCCTACTTGGCAAAGGTCCAGGTCAATGAGCAACCCTGTCTCAAACAATAATGGAAGGATACCTGAAGATGTCCTCCACATACACATCTGCCCCTACAACGTGTACACACACATGTATGCACGCACGCACGCACACACACACACACACACACACACACATACACGAGAGAGAGATGGAGGGGCAGGGACAGGGACAGGGACAGGAACAGAGACAGAAACAGAGGGATCAAGATCATTTTCCATCTCCTGGGAAGGGTTCCTCTCTGTCCTGGGCATCAGAACTATGGATCTTCACCAGGCCAATTTCATCTCCCCCAGAGGGTCTCTGAGACCTGATCACCCAGAGGACAACAAAGTACATGCACAGGACCAGGGGAAACACCACAAAGACCAGCAGCTGGAAGGAGAGGCTGCTCAGGAGGGACCTGCAGGAAACAAAGGAGACAGGAAGTAAGCAGTCACCTGGCAGAGATGGCCCAGTCTTCCTGGTGTCTGCATCCTAGCCTTCAAGGGCCAGATAAGGACAAGCCTGAGATGGTACAGGTCTGCCTCCCTGCAAGCACATGACTGGACTTGCTGCCTACAGGACACCCTCTCTCTCTCTCTCTCTCTCTCTCGGACAAGCTTTACCTTTTATCCCTCCTCCAGGCTGAAGGCTTCACTGCTCCCTGACCTTTGACCTTGGCTTCTGCTACATTCCTCACCAGGATGCTCCTGCCCGACCTCATCAGCACCGGTGTGTTAGGGGGCTTGGGACACACTACATCTAGAAATGGTTGATGGCTGCTTCCACTGTCAGTGGACTGACACTGCTGTTGCAGTTCTTTGTGTCCCTTTATTACACCCTGTGGGACATGAGGCCCTGAGAGTATTAAGCCCCATTCCCGACCTCCTGCCATCCTCTATTCACTGCCCAGGTCTCTGTCTCCCTCCTTGGTCCATCCTTAGTTTCTCCTATGGCACAACAGGAAGCCATCCTCAGCTCCTAAAAAGCATCTACAACTTCAGATACCCTGTGAGTCACAGGTTAGCCCAAACACAATCCTGGAAGATACAAAAGCTGCCACTTGGCAGATGTGCCATCCAATGTCCTGAAATGTTTTGAAGGACTAAGTTCTCTGTGTTTCACACTCTCTTTGATTCTCTACATTTCTGGAACCTTATACCCTCTGTGGCTTGATAACTAACATTCTATCCACTTGTAAAACAAGCAATAACACGTCCAAAGCACTAGAAGAGAAAGGAATTTTTAAAAAGAATCCCTGAGAGAGCCTATGAAGTGAGATGCTTTCAGACATATTTGTCTAACTTAAATTTTATGGAGCAGAAAGGACACAGTAGAAAGGACAGGGGACTAGATAAGACCTGAGGGACAAATCACAGGGAGAACTAATGAGGTAACCTGTCTTAGCTTAGCTTGTGGTTTATCTGTGTCCTTGACTTGGAGTCTTGACTCCAACAGGTTGAGAAGAAATTAGGCCAAGGTAGCTGGGAATCCCTCTGGACACCTTCAAGAGTGACAAGCATCCTAGGGGCACACGACAGTCCCGTTTCCCACTCCTTCTCTGCACTATGGAGACTGTTGTGATGGTTTATTTATGCTCTGCCCAGGGAGCGGCACTATTATTAAGTGTAGCCTAATGGAGTGGGTGTGGCCTTGTTGGAGTGGGTGTGGGATGGGCTTTAAGACCCTCATCCTAGCTGCCTGGAAGTCAGTATTCTGCTAGCAGCCTTCAGATGAAGATGTAGAGCTCCCAGCTCTGCCTGTACCATGCCTGCCTGGATGTTGCCATGTTCCCGCCTTGATGATACTGGACTGAGCCTCTGAACCAGCAAACCAGCTCCCAATTAAACGTTATCCTTATAAGAGTTGTCTTGGTCACGGTGTCTTTCACAGCAGTAAAACCCTAACTAAGGCAACTTCCCACACTGGCTCTTGGCAGATTTGGACAGGAACTCAGAGATTTATTTATAGGCTGGAAACAGTAGCTGATGGGAGAGGGATCTCTTCTAACTCTGTGAAGACCCAACAGTGGCCCTCTGTCCTACCCTCTGTGGGACACATAAGGGAGACATAAAAGTTGTCCTCCATCTCTCCTAACTCCTCGTCATCTCCGTCACTCAGATGAAGATGTTACCTTCCTGTACCTGAGTCTGAGAAGGGGAGCCTTGCTATACTAAAATGCAAAAGGACTGGGGAGCCCACCTGAGACTTTGACATGGGAATACACCAGCCCAAGTGGTTCTACAAAATAGTAACTGAGATTAGCAAGTAAAATTACAAGATGGACAGGCCAATTAGATATTCAGGGAAATCACTTTTTTGAAAAGCATTGATATAGCCATGTTAAGAAATGCTTGGGATACATTTAGGCGAGAAATGATTGATTTTCTTGAATCCCAGGATTCCTGGGCATTTTGTGTTTTATCTGGAGGCCCTCTGAGGGGAAAGGCCACAGGGTCAGCCCAGTGAGAAGGAGCTGCCAGGGTACAGCTCTGCTTACCAGGTGAAGGGGCTGCTCTGAATATCTTGTTCCTTGTCAATATTATCCGTGCCTATGTTCTCCATGGTTGGTGTGGACATCAGAAATATGGGTATGGTTGTGAGTACTGTAGTTGAAATTTCTGGGGTTGCAGATACAAAGAGAAAATGGTTCAGTCCTCTTGTGGATAGTCTAGCTCCGGTTTATGGCATTAAGTTCTTTCCACTAGGAATTTAGGAGCTCAATTGCAAGTCACCATCCAAAACTTACTTACTTACTTACTTACTTACTTACTTACTTACTTACTTACTATAGGGAGCGACCAAGCTTTTACATTAATGGCCTAAGTCAGCCATACATGCCTACTGACACAAAGTCTTGGTCTCTGTGTGAAAGTACTAACCCTAGAACAGATAGCTATAGATCTTGTAGACAGGTAGCCCTGGTGGGAAAGTACCAGCCTAGGTAAGAATAAATAATCATAGAGCTAATGGACAAGTAGCTTTGGTGGAAAAGTACTAACTTATATAAGAACATATGACCAATAGATCTTATGGACAAGATCATAGTGACCTGTTCTGCCCTGCTTCTTCTGTGAACTTTTCACCCAGCCAACGCCCTGTTCTGAAAGATATTTGTACTCCTCCTGAGAACACCTGCACTCCCGAGAAATCAAGAAGACCCTATGTCATCCCCTCCCCATATCCTGCTTCTATGTGTATATAACCCTGGTATGGAAAAGTAAAATATAACAGCTTGATCAGACTACAGACTTGCTGTCAATTCTTACACACTCTCTCTTCCCGGTTCTTTACTACAGATCTTCTGATATCAGTTGAATGACCCCTGGGACTGGGGCAACCTATTTTTCTTTCTTTCTTTCTTTCTTTCTTTCTTTCTTTCTTCCTTCCTTCCTTCCTTCCTTCCTTCCTTCCTTCCTTCCTTTCTTTCTTTCTTTCTTTCTTTCTTTCTTTCTTTCTTTCTTTCTTTTGTTCTTTCTTTCTTTCTTTATATTTTTTTCTTTCCTTTATTTTTTCTTTCCTTTGTTCTTTCTTTCTTTCTTTCTTTCTTTCTTTCTTTCTTTCTCTTTTCTTTCTTTCTATTTGAGACAGGGTTTCTCTCTGTAGCACTGGATCATTTGGGACTCACTCTACGGAACAGGCTGCACCCCTGCTCTGAGATCTGCTTATCTTTGCCTCCCTACTGCTGGGATTAAAGGTTTGTACCACTATACGTAACACTTCAATTCTTTCCTAAAGAAAGATGATGTGTAGAGATAAGAAACAGCTCCCCTTTAAAATTCGCTTCCTTCAGAATATACTCATTAGTGCCCTGTGTGCAATATGCAGAAACACTCAGTTTTGCATATTTTATCTCTTCTCTTTTTTAAAAAATATTCATGTATGTGTGTATGGGTGTTCCTTTCCATCTTCCAAATT